TTTTTAATTTTTTTTTTTTTTTTTTTTTTTTTTTTTTTTTATTATTCATACTATTAAATTTATTATTTTATTTCATTTTATTTCATTTTATTTCATTTCATTTTATTTTATTTCATTTTATTTCATTTTATTTCATTTCATTTTATTTTATTTCATTTTATTTTATTTCATTTTATTTTATTTTATTTAATTATAATTTAATATGTTTAATTACGCTTTTTTATATTTTTAAAAATTTTAAAAATATTGAAGTATAAAAAGAAAGCGGAAAAAAAAATACTTAATAAATATAAAAAAAAAGGATATGAATATAAAATTTATATGTGTGTATACAATAAAAGAATAAAATGTATAAATTTTGCATTAAAGAATTTAAAATATGTAAATATATTAGTTTTTTTTTTTAGTTTTGCATATTGTATAAATTATTTTTTATTTGCATTTATTTATTTTCTATATAAACTTTGAAATATTTAAGAAAAATTAAAAAAAGTAAAAACACAATTAAAAAAAATGTATTTTTTAAATTTATTGAAAAAAAAAAAAATTGTTTTTTTTTTAAAAATATACATATATTGTTATAAAAATAGCATTTTTGTAACAAAAGTAAAAATTAAGTGAATTTTACTGACCATTTATATATATACATGTATAAATTAAAGGAAAAAAATTATGAATCCTTACTGAAAAGCTTTTAAAAAGGCTACTAATTTTTTTTCATTAAATAATTTATTAGTATCATTAATAGTTTTGTTCATATTATCAATTATTTTTTTTGACTCTTCATCTCTTGGAATAAGCTCAGACAGTTCATCATCATTAACATAAAAACCAAACCTATTATTTATTCTATAATATAAATTTAATAAATCATTATAGTCATTTTTATTTAATTTATTTATATCCATATTACACTTACTAATTATACTTTTAATTTTATCCACCTCTTCTTTTTGTATTACATATTGATTTAAATATTCTTCTTTTTTGATTTCATATTGATCGAGAATATTTTTTATAAGAGGATTTTGTTTGTCTAAATTTTTAATAGAATTTAGTTCATTTCTTACATGATTAATTAAGGTATCATTTTCATTAATGTTTCTTATATTATTGATACTATCATTTAATATGGAATTATAAAAATTATTATCTGTATTTATGTTATGATATATTTTTTTTATAATTTCTTCTAATAGTATATTTTGTAAAGAATTCTTATAATTTACTTCAGTATTGTGTATTTCGTTTAATTTTTTTTCTAAATTTTCTTGGACTTTTTTTTTTTGTTCATTTATATATGCTTTTCTGTAATCTTTTATTAATTTATTACAATACTCCTTAAAATTTATCAAGTTTGAGCTACATTCAGTATCTTTAGAATATAACTTCAATTGATTATAAATGATATCTTCAGCTGATAATTTATTATTTAAATTTTGTTCTATCATTAAATTCTTTTCTTTGTTTAAAAAATTCCAAATATCTTTATAAAAATATGAAGCTAACATATAAAAAACTGAAAAAAAGGGAATTGTTTTTGACAAAAACCATGCATTACTTAGTACAACATTATTTAAACCAAAATATAAAAACACAAATATTAAACCATAAGAAGATAACATATTTTTATCTTTTACAAACTTTAAATGAAAAAGTTTTTCAGGATTCTCACTTCTTTTTTTTAAGCAAAATTTATATACATCTTCTTCATTTAATTGAAATAAAACAGAAATTTCCGGATAATGAAACTCATAATTATTACTAAAAGCCAAGTCAAATGCATTCATTTCTTTTTTTGAATATCCATTTATAAACATTAATTCTAATAGTTCCTCTTTAGTTAAATATATATCTTTTTCTATTGTCAAACCATTTTCACATCTTTTTGCGAATTCAATAAAATCATTATTTCTATTTTCTAATGATGTTATTAATTTTAAAAATCGTAAAAATATAGGAATTTTTTTTGTAAAAACATATAAATCTTCTCTACTTGGGCTTGATAAATACAAATCATCATATTTTACATTATTTATGTATGGTAAACTTATTCTATATTTTGTATATACATATTCTTTAGATATTCCCTTACTATTATTAGTGTAGGAACGTTTAATAATAAAATTTATCAAGTTAATATTTTTTTTAATTTTTAACATGTTTATATATACAACGTTATATCAAACAAAAAAAAAAAAAAAAAAAAAGAAAAAATTGTTTAAATGTTACACTGGGATAAATTACTGAAGTATATAAAAATATAAATATATATTTTTTATTTAACTTTTTCTTTTTTTTTTTCTTTTTCTGTACTTTTAAAATACTATTTAATCATTGCATTAAATATAACTATTTTATCTTATTTTTTTTTCTGTTTTTCTTTTTATTCTATATTTTGAAAAAAAAAATACAAACTTTTAGATTTTTAAAAAATTATTCTTAAATACACAAATCATATGTGTTTTTTATTTTCTTTATGTATGAATTTTTTTTTTTTTTTTTTTTCATTTATTATTAAGATAAAAAAAAATAAATAGAATTTTTAATATATTCTTGTCATATTTATTTATTTTTTTTTTTTTTGAGATACTTTTTTACAAATAAAAAACATGAGTGCTAAATGAATATTAATATATTTTTTTGAACAAATTTTTGTTTATATAAATTTTTTAGAGATACTATTTTTTTTTTTTTTTTTGGGTTACATAGTTGACATTTTCTTTATTTATAATTTTGCTTTGAAAAAAATGTTTTCAATATGCATTATAATTACTAAAATATGATAAGAATATTAATAATTTTTGTGTTTATTATCTTTATTTTCAAGTTAAATGTAAATTTTATATTAATTAAAAATAAAAAAAAATTTTCTTTGTTTATAATAAATAAAAATAAATGGAATACAAAAAATAAAAAAATAAAAAAAAATCTAAAAACGTATTTATGGGGTTACCCTATATATGATGATTCACCAAATAAATTAAGAAGACCCAAAATTTATCCAAATTTTGAATATGGTGAATTAAGAAAAGGACAAGATTTTGATTATGTAATTAGTACTAATATTAGTCAAAATAAGTAAATCTATCTTCTTCTACTTTTTAATACTTTTAAAAAAACATATTTTATAGTGAAATTAAATAAGTATTTTTTTTTTTTTTTTTTTTTTTTTTCAAAAGCTATAAAATTCCTGATGTTGGCTATTTATTTAAAGTTGATGAAATGGGAACAGGAAAAATGGATGATGTGTAAAAAAAAAAAAAAAAAAAAAAAGAAATAATAAAATAATTATATCATTATAATGAATAAGAATGAATATCTATTTTTTCTTTTTTTTTCAATTAAATTACAAAGTTATGTATATATATTCTTAATTATAAAAAAAATACTTAAGCTCTTTTTAACTTTTAAAGCCACACACCTATTGAAATGGTTTTTGGTGAAAAAGATATTGATATGAAAGAAGTTGACAAAATTAAAAAAGTCCTGAACATTTTTGATCAAGGAAATGTATATTATTCGAACAAAAAAAAAAAAAAAAAAAAAAAAAAAAAAAAAAAAGAATTAAATTATTTTAAAAGAAGTTCATATATTGTATATTAATTTATTTTCTTTTCATTATATAGCTATATTCTTACATTATATTTCTTATATAAATTATTTTATAATTTTAAACCAATTTTTTTTTTTTTTAATTTATTTTTAAAGGGTTTAGGAATATGTACATTAATGGGAGCTAAAAGAGCACACTTTGCCTTTAAGTATAATGGATATCTAAATCATTTTTATGGGATAAAAAATTATTTAAGGTATTTAAAATACTTCCTTTTTTATTTTTATTATATAAAAAACATTTTATTATATTTTTTAATATTAAAAATTCATTTATCTTTTTCTTTTATGTTAAAGGTTTTTAATTAATAAACATTACCCCGGAGCAAAAGTAACACTTATTAGTGAGGTATAAATTATCTCTTTATATTAACTCTTTTTTTTATATTTATTATCTCGATTATTATTTAAATTAATATATATATATATATATATATATATTTTTTTTTTTTAGCATTGGATTGATTCTATAGATAAACCTGTATGTATTAGGCACAGTAACATCCCATTTTCAAAAATTGGATATGTAATACAAAATATTTTTCTAAATTTATATACAATAAATTAACTTTTATTCATATATATTAAAAATAGTGTAATAAGTATTCTATTATTACATATATATATATATATATATATATAATACTTATTTTTTTAAATATTATAGCAAAGAAGATTAATATTTGGAAAATATGATTATATATATGAAAATGACAAAAACAAAAGAATATACAAAGGAGAAAATAAGAGTAATGTATGGGCTTTCTATGATGATCCTCAAATGTTAACATAATTCTTATTTTTTTTTTAATTGTGATAATATTAATAACATTTATCAATACTATAAATTTTTTTCAGTTAACATAGTATTTTTTTTTTTTAAATAATTACTATAAAAATATGCTTATAATATATAAGACAATATAATTATCTTTTATATTAACATATAAGGAAATTTAGTTATTTTATTTTATTTTATTTTATTTTTATTTTATTTTTTTTTTTTTTTTGTAACAAATAATATAATTATTGTAATTACATTTATATTTTATTAATCATAAAATTCCAAAATTATAATTATACTTTTTTTTTTTTTTTAATCTTATAAAAACGAAAACATAATGTTTTAAATTATAAAGCAATAATTCATAGCATAATTTTTAATTAATAAATATTTTGCCTTAATTATTATGTTTTATACATTTCCTTTACAGCTAATAACATCTTCATTTATTAAATATTTTTAATTTAAATTATTATCTTTATGAAAGAAAATTTTCTATGTGTGCATTTATAAAAAGTGTTAAATAAAAAAACAACTTTAAAGATTATGTAATTTTCATTTTATTTTACTGAGATTTATATTTCTAATTGTTTTTATATAATTTTCTTAAATATTATTTTAACAGAATTTTTGATACATAATAGTTTTCTTATATAAGTTTACAAAGTTATTTTCCATTATAAATTAAAATTTAAAAAAAAAAAAAAAAAATATATATTTTTTCAAAAATAAGTAAAAATAAGAATATTACATAAATTTTTTAATTCAAAAAATTTGTTACTCTCTATGTACCACAAGATATTTTCTTTTTGGGAAATTTAGCGATTTTTTTTTTTCTCTGTATATTAAAAAAAAAAATATATATATATATATATATATATAAATATATTTTTATTAACGATAATATAGTTTTTAATTAAAAAAAAAAAAATGCAACAAAAATACAAATTTATTCATTTCATGTAATTACCTTAGTGTCATTGCCTTTTTTTGTTTGTCCGTTAATTGAAGTCTTTTATTTTTTGTCAGTTTTTTTCTTAAATTATATGGTTTAAACCTTTTGCCTTTATATTTATTTTTCAACTCAGTTTTTTTTTTTTGGTTATAAACAGTCAAAACCCTTGCAACATCTTGTAAAAAAGTAAAAATATTAAAAATTATAAAAGAACAATAATTTTATAAGAATACATATTATGAAATTATTATAAAAAAAAAAAAAAAAAACATATATATATATTACTTTTTCTGACAGAACGTATTTTAGAATTTTTAGCTGAATTTCCAATAGCTTTACTTATTCTTAAACCACTCAATTCTTTTTTTAATTCTTCTAACTTTTCTAATAGCTCCTTTTTTTTTAGTGATCTTAATTCAAAAGCTTTTAAATTACTCTGTAAATTTTTGGTATACATATTTGTGTTTTCATATATATAAGTATATTTTTAATATTATAAACTATTTATTTATAAAATGTTATATAAATAAAAAAAAAAAAAGTTTTTTATTCACAGATACACAATATACATCAATTTCTTTCTTTTTTTTTTTTTTTTTGAGGATTTACCATTTTTACTGATGTTTTTCTTTAAAATTCTTTATTAAATTTATAAAAAATCAAATTTTAATATCAAAAAAAAGTTCTAAAAGTTCTTAATTACTTTTTAAATCATAAAAATAATTTAAAATAAATACAAATATTAAAGAAAAAAAAAAAAAAAATAAACTTTAATTTTTAAATATTTTTTCTTTAATAATTTACCTTTTTTTTTTTTTTTTGTTACAAAATTTTTAATTGTGAATGCTAATTTATGAGCGACAATAATAAAATTTAAACTACACTTTAATCCCTTAATTTTATCTTCTTAAAAAAAATATAGAAATATATCATTAAAATATTTAGATATTTATTTTAGAGAATTTATTGATTTTTTTAATGTTTATTAATCATATTCATAAAAATATTTTTTAAAATTATATAAATAAAAAAAAAAAAAAAAAAATACATAATAGAATAAAGTACAAAAAATTTGTATTTCTTATTTTTAAACATTTAAATATTGTTAAAAAAATCATTAAAATTAATATATCATTTTTGTAAGAATACATATGTATAATATATTAAACTTAATAAAAAATTAAAAATAATATATTTCCGTTTTTTTTTTTTTAACAAACATTATCGATATGATTTTATTTTTTGTATTTCATAAAATAATTAAGAAAAATAATAAAAAAAAAAAAAAATTAAAAAATAAAATGAATAAATATATGAAATACCAAAAAATATATATAAAGAACAAAAAAGATGCAAAGTAGATGACATATAATTATTTTATGTTACTACAATCCTAATAATTCAATTTCTCATAAGAATTAAATTGAAAATGAGCTTACACGTAGTTTCAATTTATAGAAGATATTATCTTCATATTTATTAAAAAAATAATATATAAGTAGGATAGTGTTCTATGAGTGAAATATCTATACATTAAAATATGTATATTTTATTAAAATAAATTATACTTTTGTAATAGTTATGTATCCTTTATTAAAGTGTAATTACACCAGTTATAAGGATTAATGTATGTTCATTTTTTTTTTTTTTTTTTTTTTTTATTAAATGATTATTCTTGATATAAATAATTTTTTAAAAAAAAATAATATTATATATATTTCTTATATCTGTTTAATATAAAGAAATTAATAGAGGGTGTTTTAAGATAAATATTATTAAAAAAGGATAATAAAAAAAAAAAATTCTAATGAATTAAGTTTGATATTACCAAAAAGTTTGACAATATGTAAATGAGATTATTTTAATAATCAAAAGCATAAAAAAAAAAAAAAAAAGAGAAAAAAGTAAAAAAAAA